ATTGCTAATATACTGCCAATCGCAACTTTTCGGCCCTTTCCCTCAATTTTCGGATAAAGCCCGACTCACACAGAACGGTTGACCACCCGTGTAAACCGTACATACAACCAAACCAACCATGGCGTTATCCGAGTTACACTCGGGCCATCTGAGTGTATCCAAGTAAGCCGTGAAGGATTTTTTAAACTTTAATAAACTGGCTCGAATATCATGTCCGTGATCGTATAAGCGGCCGTACAAGACCGTAAGATACCGTGTGAGACCATAGGAGACCGTATATACAACCTTATTTTAAGTTCACTCCACGAATGAGCCCAACCATGTCAAGGTCGTATATAAATCCTATGGAATCGTTTGAGACCGTCCCCAATTCCCACATCCAACACCCGATTAACACCCGAAAAGTATGGATATACACGGTCTCATACGGCCTCGTAAGGTCTAACATGATCTCTCCTCCAGCACAAACTGTACAACGAAAACTACTACTACACGCTGCCACCCTCAACTGCTAGATCAACGCAGAGTACTTTCTGGATCACACTAAAATGCACCCAAAGAAGGAGGTTCTCACGCACAGAAGGAATACAAAGAAAGGGCCATCCTTGTCCGCCGAACATCTGCTGACGCTGCCTAGTAAAGTGATTAAGTATTTTGTGTGGATGTCAAAATACTACTTTTTCTTTTTGCTACTGTTATGACAATCAATTGATGTCATATTCATGGCTACATTCTTAGGTGGTAAGCCTTAAACATGCTCTATAAAACCATTATTTAGACGTTATAAAACCCATGTTTATTCGTCTTAAGTATTTTGCTTATTTGATTTTGAGGGATTTTGTGTCTTTAAATTATTAGATTCATCTTGACTTTTATGTTTATAATCCGTATTTTTATTTATCTAAAGATTAACATTAAATGAGTACAGACATTGATGTTAAAGCGTGCAAATGTTTCAAGCAATAATGGTCTTTTTATAACGATGGACCCTTAAACTTAAACAGAAAAAAATATAATTGTATACAATCTAACATATACTTATATTTAACAAAAATGAGCACTGTAGTTATTATCACTCACATGTGTACAGGAAATGCATCTACGTGTCGTCGTCGAGGACTGGAAACGCAAGAATTTCCAACCACCAAACATTGTTCTAGGGCATACAAGAATAAGTAGCTTAAAGGGTATTCATGTGCCAATAGTATTCAAACACTAAAAATAAACGTTTGACGGACATACATTTATTTTATAAAAGGAAAGAAACAAGCAAACAAAAATACATGTACACAATGATCAATGTATATAGTTCTATACAATTTGTAACATTTTCATTAGTGAACTAGTTCCATTAGCTTTGTATTTATGGAGATATAAACAGGTGAAGCTTGTACCAAATGTGAAAACCGGACACACTTGAGACAAAAGAGTCTATTACCTTTACATAATAAATACTAATTTACTCCACACAGTATTGTTTTAAAAAAATATGTAGAGGATATATGACCAATTCTAAGTGGCTATTCTTATATCTACCGAGCCGCTAGTTGAATGTCATATTGGAAATACACCAACCAGAACGTCCTCGGCTATATTAACCTCGGAAACAATACTGAGAAAAAGTAGTTTCAGATGTAAACATAGAGAGAGAGTGTAATCTTCGATAATGTAAAACGTACATATAATAATATAATATAATGTACATATAAGTGGCATCCAAAAGAAAATTAAGTCTGTTTCGGTACACTTATGATTGAAAATATGTCTGACAACCATTTTTTAATTTAAGTATTCCCATTGATGAACAATTTGAAACACATCCGACTAAATGTCAACAGGCTGGTATTTTGTTATTTCGGTTTCTACAACCATAATAATAAATATACAAATAATGTATTGTTTTCATTTGAATATTTGAATTCACTTATTTTAGGTAGACATGTTCTTCAAATATTGGAAATAAACATGTCAACTATTCCCAGCAGTATTGGCATCCGCGCCGAAGCGCGACACTCCTTATGGAATGAAAAAGGGGCGACAGCAACTTCTCGGGCCTTTTCGTCGATCATATTAGCCGATCATTCTGATTGGTATGAGGGTGTTTGATTATCAAAAATAAAATGTCGCGAACAATGAATAACGAACTGAATGCAAACATATTCAAATGAAAATATCTTATCAGTCAATTAATCGCGCTCTTCGGGGTTTTTTTCATTAATCTTTTTGTAGTACACCCAGTGGGTTATTGTGTACTGCTGTACCTATAAATATAATGATGACCTTAACATTGTGAAAGTCCGAAAATCTATTTATAGAAGTAGTTTTAGTTTAACGAAACGGTGATTCGTGTCGCGCTGTGGTTTTAAATAGCGAAATGGAGAATTTTGCAGGAAATGAAATTTGAAAAATGAAACATATTCAAACAACCAATTGCACTTTGGATATTATTGACCTGTCTATTTTGGATGGATGTTATTGTTAAAATTGTTAGAATTAAAAGTTCCCGTGGAAAAAATAATAATATTCTAATCTCTAGCATGCCTACCAAAGTTCGTGATGAATAATGTATTTCGTCCGTCCATTCATAAATAGTATACAATTCTGTTAAAAACCAATTAACCATTGAAAAGTTTAAAAGAATATCTGGTAATCAGATGTATACTTGTTCATCTTTACTTGCTGCATTTCTTGCATGGATGCCCTTTGGTGCTTTGCATCAATGCTTTTCTTGTATTATTGTTTGTTTACATGTCTAGTTTTTTAGCGTAGGTTAGACCGAAATACCGTATCCGTTCTGTGTATTCCTACTATTGTGTTCGAGGCCCTAATCCGAAGACTGACGGAAAGGGTCGAAAAGTTGCGATTGGAAATAAACATTTATACACGGCATTATTACAAGAAATCTTTAAAACAAATTTATGGTGCAGTAGCCTTCTTTTATTTAAGGTCGTATGCAATTTAGTTCGTATCTAAACCAGCTGAGTGCACAGAACATAACAATTACTTTATTCAAAAATTGTACAATAACTACAGCATTGCGTATGTATATAAAACAATATAGTATACGTACTATATCAAAAATTAAGTCACAGATAATTAAACAAAATAGCTTCGATTTAAGATACAGGCTATACTTCTTATTTGGGGGCCGTTATAAAAGATATTCCTATGTCGCGATTAATTAATTAATTAAAAAACAACATCCCAACAAACGTGCAATATTATTTCAACATAAAAAAGGTAACATAGAAATTTAAGTTTTTATCAGGTTTCATTAGGAGCCTATACATTACAACACATGATAAGTTTCAAGTTTCTATTAAAGGACGAAACACTAGGTAGGAGTGTAGCTAAACTGACATAACATCTGTGACTGTTATATAATAGAAAATCATAAATAAGCAGTATATTCAAGCAGAAAATTGCCTAGTCACGCCCGGCAAACTGTCGCTCCACTTCAAAATTGTGGTGTACGGTAAAACGAGCGAACGGCATTTCCGAGATAGAGCGGAAGGCCGATTTAAACGCCTAATTGTAAGTATTGTTTATGTTTTTGTCTTGTTATTTATTTAAGTTGTATTTTTTCGAAAAACGGAAAATGTAGTTCCGTGTAGGATTGATTTAGGCTTCCAATTATCTAACCTGTTACAAAAAGCAAATCATATTCAGCCCGGGAGAACTTTTCTCCCTGACGAAGCGAACGATGATTTGTAGAATATTGAACTTCCTAACCATAGAAATGCCATACCTTTCGGATTTCTTGAAAAAGTGTATTAGTAAATTATCAACCCGTAATAAAAACTTGTACTTCGTGCAAAATAAATTACTCCTGAAGGATTTCTTAAATTTGTAAATCGATATTTTTCGAAAGTAGTGGAGCGAAAGGGCGAGAGATGGAGCAAAAGGTTCGATGTTGAGCGCAAGGCGATATTAATTTGACGTATTAGGAGGAGCGTAGTCAATGATTTTTATAAATAAAAGCTATAGAAGTTAAAAGTGTTAAGACCGAGATATATATACCCTTTAAAGAGAACTAATAAATTGTGATATCCTTTCAACGCCTTTAGCGTAATAACTGAAATCCCCAAAAGGTGTCAACCTTGGCGCCGGTGATTCCATTATTTATTTTTCAAAAATTTGGTTTGGGCCAGACCATTAAATCAAAACTTTAATGCAGGCATTTTAAGAGGGAAACTTTTTCCGAGGTCAAAAAATTGATTTTTGACACGTTATGTACTTTTAAAAACGGGTCCGGCAAATGCGCCCAAAGTCGAAATTTTAGTTCAAATTTGCGAACAAATTTTTTCGAGAGGGGAACCGTTTTTTACCCCAAAAAATTTTTATTTTTTTTCAAAAAAGGGTTAAAAATTTAAAGGTGCGGGAAAAAGAAAAAAAATTTTGCAATCCCAATGAACGCTTTAAAATTTAAAAGGGATCACTACTACCAAGTTCAGTTCACAATGACTTTTTGTAATTAATAGCTCTAACGTACTTGTTCTGAGCAAAACACAGATTTTCCACTCAAAGTGAGGCCCCTTACCAAAAAAAAGGCTCTCTGGTGAACATTGCGGCAAATTTGCCGCAAACATTGCGGAGAGTTTGCAGCAAACTGCTTTCAGCAATTATTTACCATGCAAATGAGGTTTGCAGCAAATTTGCCGCAACTAATGAAGTTTGCGGCAAATTTGCCGCTAACTATAGGGGGAGGTAGCTTCTGTTTGCGGCAAATTTACTGCAAACCTCATTTGCATGGTAAAAGTTTGCAGATGTTCGCCAAAAGTTTGCGGCAAATTTGCAGCAAACTTCATTTGCATAGTAAGTTTGCGGAGGTTCGCCAGAAGCTTTTGGTAACACTGCGGCAAACATCATTTGCATATTTGCCAGTTTCAGCAAATATGTTATGGCGATATTTTGGCGAACATTTTGGTAAAGTTCTGGCGAACAATTTTTTCAAACATTGGAATAATTAAAACTAGCTGAATTATAAGAAAACAAATACATATTGGTTTAACACATTTTTTCAATAGAAAATAAAAGAAATATTACAAACATATCAGTAGAATAAAATGAAATTTGATAAATTTGTAAAATAAAGAAATTAATTCCCGAGTTAAAAAAAAGAGATAAATTTTACACACATTTTATTAGCAACTGATTCTATACATATTTGACTTTCATAAATTTCCACTCTTTAGTTATGATGCTATCATGAATTGTTCATATTACTTAATAATCAATTAAAACAAGAGCCTATTGAACCGGGGTGATCCTCCCCGACTAGGATTTGGACACAGAAAAGTATATCTTTTGAAGTTTCAGGGTTATGTCCCAGACAAAGTTCAAAGTCTGATAATTCCAAAATAGTTGTAAAATCCCACTTCAAATAACGACGCTATGGGCCAGACACATTTTTGCTTCAAAGTCATGCTGTGACCTTGACCTTCGAGTAATGACCCAAATGTTGCGTGTGACACATCATCTCAATATGGTGATCATTTCGGTGAAATAGTTGTAAAATCCGACTTCAAATAACGAATTTATGGGCCGGACACCATTTTGCTTCAATGTCATGTTGCGACCTTGACCTTCAAGGTATTGACCCAAATGGTGTGTGCGACACATCGTCTCAATATGGTGATCATTTCTGTGAAATAGTTGTAAAATCCGACATCAAATAACCAAGATATGGGCCGGACACAATTTTTGTTCAAGGTCATGCTGTGACCTTGACCTTCAAGGTAACAACCCAAATGTTGCGCATGACACACCGTCTCAATATGGTGATCATTACTTTTAAATAGCTTTAAAATCCGACTTCAAATAACGAAGTTATGGGCCGGACATAATTTTTGTTCAAGGTCATGGTGTGACCTTGACCTTCAAGGTAGCGACCCAAATGTTGCGGGCGACACGTCGTCTCAATATGGTGATCATTTCTGTGAAATAGTTTTAAAACCCAACTTGAAATAACAAAGTTATGGGCTGGACACGAATTCGGGTTCGTATGTATGTACAGACAAACGGACGGACAACCCGATGACTATATGCTCCCCCGAAATTTTTCGGGGAGCATAAAAACAATGTTTGACAATAGCTATTATTCAGCACATGTTGCAGTATTTCTTAGCACCAAAAATGGGAAATATAATATTGTTGTAAAAGCTAAAAATCAGAAAAGTTACAGTTTGAAATCTTCTATCTGGACAAAAAGTTTCATTCAAACATGAACTGGCATGGAATAACATACATACTTCGACATCCACTTATACAAATCACTATTAATAACAATAAATACTAACAATAGCGTTATGTGTTATGCAAAAACAAACTAGACCAATAATGGCTTTCAAAATTGTAAAAATGAATCTCAAAAATATATTTTGGTCTTATACAAACAACATATTTCATGGACATAATACCTTCAGATTTAAACTCATGTCATATAACATTATGATTGTGAGCAAAACAATATCTGACATGAACAATTATGGCTTTCAAAATTGTTAAAATTAATCACAACAATATATTTGGGTCTTATACAAACAACTAATTTCATAGACATAATTTTTTGTTTGTTTGTTTTGGGTTTTTACGTCACATCGACACAGTATAGGTCATATCGTGACGTTCAGGTGCCCTTCCTTGCATTATTTCAGGCACGAACGGGTATCTGAGTAGAACCACCGACGTTCAGTTAAGCTAGCTGGATAGCTTCCTCACATGAAAGAATCCAAAGTCCCTGTCGGGATTCCAACCCACAGTGGTGAGGGGCAAGTGGTTTGAAGTCAATGACCTTAATCACTCGGCCACGGATGCCCCTCATAGACATAATAACTAAAGATTTAAACTAAATATAACGATTGCAAGCAAAACAAAAACAGACTAGAGCAATAATGGCTTTCAAAATTGTAAGAATGAATCTTAACAACATTTTTGGGTCTTATACAAATATAGACATAATTTAATATTAAAGATTAAAACTAAATGTCTTTAGTCATGTCATATAACGATTGCAAGCAAAACAAAAACTGACTAGAACAATAATGGCTTTCAAATTTGTAAAAATGAATCTTAACAATATATTTGGGTCTTATACAAACATAAACATAATAACTTAAGAATAAAACTAAATGTCTTTAGTCATGTCATATAACGATTGCAAGCAAAACAAAAACTGACTAGACAATATCGTAAGTTTGCATGAAATTGGCTTGGCAATTTATGAGATGTTGTTTAAAGATCAAGTTTACGGACGAAAGATAGACAAAAGCTCGCAATGTCACTTTGTAAGCTAAAAACGCACTACTTTACTCTTTCACTCTTCCAAGTTTCAGTGCCCTGGCCATTGTGTGTATTTTGGTGTTGACTGCTTTGGTGACTAAGCTACTCTCCATATTTAGTTTATTGATGCAGTACACTGAAAAAAACAATGTTTATTTTTCATTTACATGTTACCATGTTTATACTGGATAAAACTAGAACTATCACTGAAGGTGAATGATACCCCAAAACCCCACCTTGAAACAGTGTAAGAAATTAGGATTTGAATCGACTAGGCTGGTTGGACTACCAGATTGGAATATTCACTAGCCCAAAAAACATTTCACTAGCACGATTAACTTGTTCTAAACAGTTGTTTATATTGCCTCTGAAAATACAGTAGCCTGGTCGGGCTTGTTACTGTGAAAAGTTGGTAGCCCGAGGAGAAATTTAGTAGTCAGTGGCTATCGGACTAGTCTACTGCTAATTTCGAACACTGTTGAAATAAAGTGGCAGTAATCTATTAGAAAAGCTCACCTACAAATGATGAAAAATAAACACCAAAGGCAATTATTATTTATTTGTCAATACACTGGTGCTGGCTTGATTTTGATATGTTGGGATGAACATGTATTTGCATTGCAAAACCTAGATTTATTTACAAATGACAAGTGGCTCATATATTATAAGTTTATCTAACTTAGTTAAGAAATCAAGGTATTATATTAAAAACACACCAAAATAACAAACAAGAGCGATCAGTGATCACATGTGTCGCTCATGGTGGCCAATTTCATGTTGGGACAAGTTTTGTGACAGACGGACAGACAGACAGACAGTGCACAACTAGACTTGGTACTGATCATTCCTTTAAAGTTTGGATGAAATTGCACCAGTAGTTTTTGAGGAGTAGTCCGGACAAGCTTTTGTGTATCTGGCAACACCTTTTCATCAAACTTGCTAAAATATCATTCAACCGGAAAACCTGTGCAATATGTGCAAGGACTTGAGCAACAGATCAATCCTGTAAAGTTTCATTGAAATTGCATTTGTGGTATAAGAGATGTAGTCTGGACAAACTTAAAAAAAAGGCCATACCTCTGACAAAAATCATTGAACCGGAAAATGCTGACAATATGCACAACTAGACTTGGTACTGATCATTCCTGTAAAGTTTGGATGAAATTGCACCAGTAGTTTATGAGGAGTAGTCTGGACAAGCTTTTGTGTATCTGGCAACACACAGAAAAAAAACACCTTTTTATCAAAGGGCCATAACTCGGCCAAAAATCATTCAACCGGAAAACTCGTGCAATATGCACAAGGACTTAAGCTACAGATCCATCCTGTAAAGTTTCATTGAAATTGCATTAGGGGTATAAGAGAAATAGTCAAGACAAACTTTAAAAATAAAAATTATTAAAGGGCCATAACTCTGACAAAAATCATTGAACCGGAAAATGCTGACAAAATGCACAACTAGACTTGGTACTGTAATTCCTGTAAAGTTTGGATGAAATTGCACCAGTAGTTTATGAGGAGTAGTCCGGACAAGTTTTGTGACGGACGGACAGACAGACAGACGACGGGAGAAATGATCCCTATATGTCGCCACTACTCCGTAGAGGCGACACAAAAATGATGCATGCTGTGAACATGACAGCCAGGTCAGAGCTCAAAGTTAAAAACCAGGGTCATTCAAAAAAAACCATTGGGATTTTTTTTTTTCAAAAAAGCCACTTTTTTTGAAAACCCAATTTGACTAACCAGTTTTTAAATTTGTATCCCAAAATCATTTTTTTAAATTTAATACTTTCAATAACAGGGGTTTAAAATAAAACACAGATATTTTTCCCTGAAAAATTTTTAAAATCATTACTAAACATAAATGAAAAAACTGGGAAATTTTGTAAAATAGGCCCACGGATGCCCCCCACACCCACTGTTCTGCCCAATTTTTAAATGCCCTTCCTTAGGTCAAATTTTTTTGGACTACTTTGTGCCAAAAAGTTAAAAACCCAAAAAATTTCAAAAAAGGGGCCCAAAATTCTGTTAAATTGACGCAAAGATAAAAACCCTTTCCCTTTATTTACCATCTCACTTTAAAGGGTTTGGTTCATCCCTGAAAATTTAAAAGCAAAATCTGACATCCGGTTTAAGAGGAGTTGCGTTCACAAGATTTTGGGACGAACTGACAAGTGCAACGCTATATGCTCCCACATTGTGGGGGGCATAAAAATAATCTTATTTTACTTACATGTTAAACTGTCAAATCCTCTTTTGTGCCAGGCAGTATCTACTGCACTGGACATACCACTGCGGGTTTTACAGGGAAATTTTGGGGAAAGTCTTAATCTGCTGTGAGGTTTTTCAAGATGTGGACCACTTCTGATTTGTTTTCAACCTTTGACTGTCTGTGAGAACTGTAATTGTAAAAATATTTTCTGTAATTTAAAATTCATCTTTAAACGTAATATTGACAAATATTGAGAAACTACACCAATGAATTGACAATAACTTATTTATAATTAATGTAACACAATGTTCATACTAGAATAAGTTTTGTTAATTATTAATGCTGATTGCACGACTTTTTCCTGACCAATTTTAGTAATCACTTTTATGAAATAATTCGGACTGCATATCGATTATTCATCACATCATGACATGAAGATACATCAAATTGTTTCTATTGAAGACGACCCCAAATAGCATTACAAAATTATCACAGTATTATCATTTAATTGCTACACCATGATTATAAATATATATAAAAAAACCTCATAGATTTCAACTTACAGTTTAATAGGCATTTTTGTTTGATGTATTGTTGAGGATTGTTCATCACAATTGTATAAATCTGACCATTCACTGTCATTTGTAACTGTAGCATCTGACTGAAGAATAGACCTTGAATAAAAAAAAAATACATATGTACAAACAGTATATGGAGAGATATTCATATATTGAAGCAACTGACATAACACAAACAGTTCAACAACACCAGTCAGTTTTGCATAGTCCTTTACTTTCGTAAATAAACAAAATACAGAAAACAAACTACCAGTACTCACTTTAGTGCTGGCGAGGCATCTGGCAAAGGACATCCTCCAAGATCTTGTCAATAAGACCTTCCATGATGTTGTGTTCTGATACCATTGATTCTTCATGATGCACATCCCTTAAAAAGAATGCATGTATTTAATAAGAATTTTAGTCTTAAACCAATGAAGGTAATGATAAACAAGATCAACAAGGAAAGGTGGCGTTCAATGAACGCAACTCCCATATGACCCAGCAACAAGTACCAATGGCAAGGAGCCCAGGCGGACCCAGTTTGTCATGTAGAAATAAATACTTTTTTTTAAAAAACAATTACACATTCATGTTATTTTGAAAAAAAAATATGTACATGAATATAGAGTAACATGCAAAAAAAACAAAGCCATTGTTTAAAAGTTCTTTTCTCATATATTTATTGTATAATATTCTTTGGTTCCCTAAACCACGAGTATACCAGCAATATAGGATTATTATTTATACCATGATAAGCTGCATAGACATAATAATTACAAAACAATTTTTCAAATTCTTCCAATTCAATTACATGTTATTTCGAAAATATCATTGTAAATGTGTCTTACTCCATTTCCTTGATCTTTCGCAGCAGATTCTGATGACATAGAAGCCACTGTCTCAATGATATTTCCAACACGTCTCTCCATTTCTTTTCATGTTTTATTTCCAATTGTTGTTATATTGAGTGTTGACAACAAATTGTTGACCTTCCCCTCACCGGCCGACCTACACTATCAATCATTGCTGTAAGAAAATGAAAAGAAACAAATTATTTCATATAAGTATACAAATATTTTGTCCAAAAAAACTTCACATGGATTTTAATTTACATAACCGTGATAATAACACATTGCATAAATTTATATAGAGCTATTTTTAGCTGCCTCATGTATGTTGAATATTACTGTGACTGTGTGTATTGGCAGCCTAGTGTAAACTGTGTCTTTTATATAATGTACATGTAGAATTCTGTAAGTGTAATGTCTTAATAAAAATTGCATTGTTGCAAGATTTAATTTAGCAACGTTTTATCATTTGTTTTTCAAATTTCTCAGTGACTTTGGGGAAATTAAAACAGTTCAGAGGGAAGTTTATAAAAAATTTCACAATAGGAAGTGGCTAGCCGTACAGGCCCGTACGGCTAGCCAAAAGTTCTAGCCGTACGTGAGTCATGTACGACTAGCCAGGACACACTGTATTGGCTAGCCGTACGGCACTTTTCAAAATTATATGGAGTACGTGAGTCACGTACGGCTAGAACTTTTGGCTAGCCGTACCGGCCCGTACGGCTAGCCACTTCCTTCACAATAAGGAGTAGTGTTTTACAGCTCAACACAAACAAGATACATGTATTCTGTATAATAAATTAATTATTTATAAATCTGAAACATAAATTTGGTCCGCATAATTTCGCTCATAATTTTACATGTTTGACATCATTGGAAGACAAGTAGATAAACACTGATAAATGTATATTCATTTTGGTACGAGACCTTACATCTATGAATTCATAATCAGTATATAGTACTTAATCTAAAGTATGATGCAATACATTAATCACTTACCTGTTCCTAATTTTGTGTTGACAACGAAACATGGCATTCCAACTTTCCCAGGTCTTCAATCTACTACTTCTAATCTGCTAGAGTCTATGTGTTTTTCCATAGGGAACACAATTCACATGTCCGCATTCTGTGTTTCGACATTTCACATACAAATATCCAGACACACCCTGTTTAAATTCACCTAACATGTTGTCAAAAGTTAATGGTAGCCTACTGGTCCAAGTCTACATTTTTTTTTAAAAAAATCTTAGGTTTGACCGTAACACGCCAAACTCAACGATTCTTCTTCCCTCTTTCCAACCCTCATTATCAACCGATTTAGGAAGAGTTGATGTTTTGTAGAGCTGGTTTGGTTGACCCGTAATACTGGTTACCTGCACTATAGTTATGTTCTATAATTAAGTCGGAATACTTGGGTTTTCTGCATCTTTTTACACTTTTTTTTGAATCGACCGAGCGTATCACGCCTGTAAGACGCCATGTTAGATATCTACGGAAATTACGTCATTTTCTTGGGGAATACTACCACGTGACTGGGGATATCCGCTATTATTAGAATTCCGACTTTATACGTAAACAAACGAAGTTCGTTACGATAAATGGCGAGATATGGCGGTAATTGTCGAAGATTGCCGATTTCATTATGGGTCTTCTACCTTATAATTTTTTAACTGTTATTGTGAACTATAATACCCTCCATGATACATATGATGTTTCAATTTGATAACTCTTAGGCAAAAAATAAAAATATGTTTGTTTCCACTTCCCGACCCATTAAAATAGGGTTGGGTAGGTAGGTTATAGCTAGATATAGGTACATGAAGGACTTTTTTTATATGTGCATAATAATATAATTCCTTGGCAAAATAGTTATTTACTGAACAAAGTTGGATTAACTTTCAGAACTGATATGTTTGTGGCGATTATCTGGCAAACTTGTTTTTATAGAAAAGTTTCTGGTGAACTTTCAGCGAATATTTTTTTTTGAAAGAAAGATTCTGGCAATCTCTGGCAAATTAGTTTTCCACTGAAAGTTTCTGGCAAACTTTTGGCGAACAACTTAATATTCTGGTGAATTTGCCGCAAAGTCGCCAAATGTTTGCTACAGAGTTGCCACTAGTGGCGATATCTGGCAAACACTTGACACAGTGTTTCGGCGAACTAAAAGGTTTGCAGCGAATTTGCGGCAAAGTTGCGGCGAGTTTACGGCAAACCTTTCCTTTTGGTACGGGGCAGAACTCAGTCGGTGTACGGACTAAAATTATCAATAATATAATAGACCTAGTTATAGTAGAAATTTATATTTACCCTTACAAACGAAAATAATAAACTAAACAACAATGCTAAATAAGGGAGGAAGTATCTTGAAACATAACTGGAACATGTGTTATATCCTTATAAAGACTGACACCTTGTCAACCATTTTCATAGCGATTCCCCACCTTACAAATTCATAAACACGTGGCTTATTTGTGTTTTTGCTCAGAACAGGTACGTTAGAGCTATTAAATACAGAAAGTCACTGTGAACTGAACTCGGTAGTAGTGATCCATTTAATTTGATGTGTTCCATGCATTGCATAATTTTGTTTCTGTTCTGCACCTTGAATATCTAACTTTTCGAAAAACATAACATTTTGGCGTGAACAATCGAGTTACACGTACCTGCTCGGAAACATTTGTTCGCGGAAACATTTTAGTTCACATTTGAACTAAAAATATTCGATTTTGTCGCATTTGCACGGACACACGTTTTTAAATGTACATAACCGTGTCAAAAATCATGATTGACCTCGAATAAGTGGCATCCTGTATTATGCCATGCATACATGTGTATGACTCAATGGTCGGGCCTCATCCAAAATTCGAACATTTATAAAGGAATCTACGCGGCAGCCATAGGTGACACCTTCGCGATTACAGTTATTACGCTATAGTCGTTGAAAGGATATCACACTTTAATTAGTTGTCTTCAAAATGTATATATATATCGGTCTGAACACTTGATCACGTCTATTTTAACTTCTATAGCTTTTATATGTAAAAAATCATAGACTACGCTCCTCCTAATACGTCAAATTAATATCGCCTTGCGCTCAACATCGAACCTTTTGCTCCATCTCTTGCCCTTTCGCTCCACTACTTTCGACAAATATCGATTTACAAATTTAAGAAACCCTTCAGGAGTAATTTATTTTGCACGAAAGACAAGTTCTTATTACGGGTTGATAATTTACTAATACACTTTTTCAAGAAATCCGAAAGGTATGGCATTTCTATGGTTGGGAAGTTCAATATTCTACAAATCATCGTTCGCTTCGTCAGGGAGAAAAGTTCTCCCGGGCTTAATATAATTTGCTTTTTGTAACAGGTTAGATAATTGGAAGCCTAAATCAATCCTACACGGAACTACATTTTCCGTTTTTCGAAAAAATACAACTTAAATAAATAACAAGACAAAAACATAAACAATACTTACAATTAGGCGTTTAAATCGGCCTTCCGCTCTATCTCGGAAATGCCGTTCGCTCGTTTTACCGTACACCACAATTTTGAAGTGGAGCGACAGTTTGCCGGGCGTGTATTTCTATGGGGAAATTTTATGAAACTTCACAGAAAAGTTCACCACTATGAGGAGCCATGTCGCGCGCATAAACAAGATCTCTTGGTCAAAGGTCTAGGGCACACTTATAGGTCATTGAAAAACGCTTGAACGGGGCAAATCTTCTTCATGCATAAAGGGATTTCAATTTAACTTGGCACAAATGTTCACCATTGTATGGCAAAGTGTCGTGTGTAAAATTTATATCCCTGCGGCCAAGGTCATGGTCACACATAAGGGTCTTATTTCAGATAAAAATATGAAAATGTGTATTTGGACCTTTAAGTCATCATTTATTGAGGGATTGAAACCCATACGGTCATTATCATGACTACTGTTGTGAAATATGTGATTTATGTTAATATTTGCATGGTCAAGGTCACTAAAGATGATAAAATATAGCAACTTTGTCCAGAGCATATCTCTTTCACGCATGGTGGGATTCTAATATATATCTATATTTATACATGTGTATGGGGAAAAACGTATCACGCTTTATGCTTGTTATCAAGAGTTGTCAAAAATAAAATAGTAAAATCATATTATTTTTTTTTGCAGTACTGGAATACATTTTATTTATAACTGAGTTTTGATTTCCTTTCTTATGATGTTTGTTTTAATTAATCCTGAAACCACTGTAAGAACTATTTATACATGCATTACCATTGCTTTTAAATTAATCAAATATTCCCACTCCTTCCTTAATTACTATTGCATCAGGAAAATATCACAAAAGTTCATAATAGGTGTAGTAAATTATTTTCAAAACTGCGTTTTATAGAATTTGTTGTTTGTATCAAACACACAGGCACGAGTATCGGACCTGGGAAGAAAAAATATGACCTGTTTGATTAAAAAAACTGTGTTCATCTTAAAAGTGTCAAAAACCAAAAAAAAATAATTATGACCCCTTTTAAAAATATACTATAAGTTGGCAGAAGGCCGGAAACACCAGATTCGAGCCTACGAGCAAGGGATTCATTTCCCGGGCCGTTGTGAAAACAATTGTCCAGAAAATGAAAAAAAAAACTTATCACTATTTCACGTTTGTATTAAACTTCCAAATAATAAATCTTAAATTGAGCACCATATTTATGATATAAAACCATAAAAGAAATTGTGTATACGGATTTCGGTATATACCAATATGGGATCGATTTGTACTTCGTTAGTTCGATGCTGACATCACTAAACAGTTTTAGTCGTGTTTTAGCATGATTTGATGGCTTGCTCACATTGCATTGTGTACAACCAGTATTTCTTAAGAAACGTAACGAAGTGAATTGTACAGAAACATGGCAACAGTATGTAAATTAAACATAATTGCCCGAGTAATAATTAAATATGACAAAATCTTTGAAACAGTTCTTTTAGTATTTTTCGTTTAAAATGTAAATTCGTGCACTTTTTCATAAACTCAAGTCATGAACTAAACAAAACCTTAAACCTTATACTTACAAAACAAAATCAAATATTTTTTAATGAATTTTGATAAAATAACCAATTTCTGTTTACTCCTAATAGACATAATATTATTCTTTTTTTTCAATATATACAATGGTATACTACCTAAATATTTTGGCGTAGTTTTCGTCTATGATTCTGTCATTCGTGTTTTTGCCCCGCGACCCCGCCAAGCGATTAGTCGATAATTTACAAGTTAAAATGGCGGGGGCGCGGAGTAAA